CACCGATAGGGGTGAAACTCTTTGTGTTGGGAATTACATTTAAAAAAGAAATACAGAAATCACACCCAAAGCACTGTGAATTTGTACTGTTGTGAAATGGACTCAAATCCGACAGACCTTCAGAGAAAAAAAAACAAACCCCCCCCCCCAAAAAAAAAAATATATATATATATATATATCTGTGGATAATTTGTTAGCTTCTCTTCCCTGTTGCACAGTGCACTCAGATCACTAGCTATAGTCTGCCATTATGTCTGACCCCACACTCCTCCAAACCCTGCAGTTTGTCCGGGCTCTGAACCATGGGGATTTATATTCAAGAATAATGTTCTATAAAGAAAAAAAAAAAAAGTACCCCAGCTAACTGGTTCTACCTGAGATAAATCTGAGATGGGAGGAGTGCCAAGAAGGGGAATAAGGAGACTGCTGTGTATGTACAGATGGGTGGAGAGCAGGTGATCCCTTTTTTTATTGTACAAATTACTACCACCATATCTCATAACTAAAAAAAAGCATACAGTATAAATTCTACTCAACTAACAGATAATGGGAGGTAAAGAGGAAATGAAAGGGTTTAGATCAATGTTTTTTTAATATACGGAGTTGTTCATAACCCAATCCATAATTTTTCACATGATTTATAATAATGATTTCTTTACTGCCAGATATCTTTACTATAACAATGTCATCAAAAGGTCTGTACAGATGACTTTGAAGTTTCACAGGTAGAAGTATTGCAGCCTAAGTTCATCAAGTTCAATACCAGCTTGACAGATAAATTCATCACATATAGATATTTGAATATCCAGGGTACCATGGAGGCTGTACACAGTACTGTAAAAACTTGAAAAATTTGTCACATCAAAATTAATTTTAAATATTTACTAGTTTTGCACGGGAAAGTACAACTGAGCCTAACACATTTAATTTCTTTGCAGTTTAATTAATGTAGTTTTTGCTGAAGCGTTTTAAATTTTATTAGCTTCAAACCAGTAGTGTGAACTTAGTCTTACTTTGAAATGTTAAAAGTCTTGCTTTAAAATGTGTTTAATTGCAGCTCCAGGGTTTGTATGTTGAGTATGCCTGGATGGTAAGGTTGAGTTGTGGTTTTCGTGAATTATTTATTATATTATATAGCAAATGCATTGCAGGGTTCAGCCAAGGACAATACTTTTTCTCCAAATACAAATGAAAATCTGCGGTCTTCTTTTGCAAAAATACACAGTGAGGCAGGCATACTGCTGAGTGTGCCTTGATATTTGTTGTGAACCACAAATTGATTATTTGACAAATGAATGGAAGTTTGTGAGATTCTGAAGAAGTATTAGCTGTGCAGTGCAGTTGACTTTTAAAGGGATGCTTATTTATTTATTTACTTATTTATTTAATATTGAAACTCAGTCACTTTATCAAAATAAATGTTCCGTCCAAATCAGCAAAATGTAGATTTTATGGTTTAACATATATGGGGACAAAATAAGCCAGAATAAACTGTTCAGCACCAGCTTTTTGTAGGTGTTTATGTGAGGTAGATGGTGTATTGTTTAAGGTTGGTCTGTATTAGAATACCTGCCAACTGATCCTGTTTTCAAGGTGTAAAATACATGTTATGTCCATGGGGCACATCTAGAGCTTTTTCCAGACACAGAAAGTAGGACAGTTTTGCCGATCGCTTATAGTATTATGTAGATGTTCAAATGAAGTTATGAAAAACAGACTATTTTGGTTCTGCTACTTAAAAAGTCAAATAAAGTTTCCACCATTATGTAAATTCTGAGAACTTCTTTTCTGCACAAAACTGCATTGAGTAGGTCTGAGGAGTATGAATTTTGGGCTGTACTAGTAGGTGATATATTGTAAGTTACTAGTACTTATTTATTTCTGTTTACTTGAAAACGATTTGTTAGAATTATAATGGTGACTTAATTCTTACCAAAGCTGGTCCAGTCCTAACTTCTTACCTAACTGCACCTTTTGTCATTGTCTTACTAAGTCCAAAGTCTGTCTTTCAAAACTAAAGGAAATAATTGAAAAAATAGTCGACGTGTCTGTAGGCTATTTACATTGAATAACATTTTGCCGACTTT